ACAAGGTAGGTTTTTTGGGGTGCAGTAGTGGGGTTCTGGTGCTCAGGCCTTATAGGGCCATCCATAGGCAGTGTCAAGTGAGTTTGCTCCCCCTATCAAAGTCCTCAAAGAGCTTGGAGAGAGGTGGCTAGAGAGGTAGTCTTAGGAGGGGTTTTAATATTTACATATTGTACCCAGCACGATCTGAGTGCTACTATACAGACATGTAGAAAGAGAACCCCTCCTCTGAAAAGCTTACAATTTAAAAAGACTGGGGATGGGGAGCAGGATACAGTGTACATGCAGAGACCAGTGTGACTGACCACACTGGGACACTTCCACGGGGAGTCTCAACTTACTCCCAGCTGCCCCTCACCTGCGTGGCTAAATTTCCAGGATGCATTAGAACAAACAGTGGTGCTGAGTGGAGGCAGAGTTGCTCTGAGACAGATCTTTAGAGCCAGGTGAGACAAAGGGTTGACTCCAGCTTTTTTTTTAAATAAAAACCCCCCAAAACCTGCCCATCCCCAGAGTGGGAAGCACTGCGCCCCTGCCTAGAGCACGAGTCATATAGTAGGCAGTATGCCAGCCCTTGGCAGGGTGTCAGGAAATGGCTGCTGGACATCCTCAGAGCTCGGACTGCTTTCCTCACTATCATGTGGAGATGATAATAGGGCCCCACAGCCCTCCAATGAATGCCTGCTAGTCTTCTAACTTCCACTTGGCAGGTCTGACAGTTCTGGGTGCCGTTCTAGGTAGAGGAAAACTTGTGCAGAGCCAGTCCCAGATGGAACATACCCAGGACCCTACTGAGCTAGAATCCCAGCCTTTCACTATCTGTCTAGTCAGTGCAATGCCCTCTTGCTGTGATGTATATAGATGGTGGGAACCTGCAGCCCCTAGCCCCAGCATGGGCTGAGCCAATAGCCCAGGATTTGGAGCTCCTTTTCTCTGCCTGTCTCAGTTCACTGCAAAGTGCTCTAATACTAATTTGTACTTGGAAGGTGATCATTGGTACAAAGACAATCTTGGCCAATGGTGCGTTGATCGCTGTAAGTGGGACTCATACCCTGGCACTGGCAGCTAAACACCACTCCACTCCCCTCATCGTCTGTGCACCCATGTTCAAGCTTTCACCGCAGGTAGGTGCAGCAACTTTTGATTACAGCATCTGCTCGATCTCGTGGCAAATAGAGGGACCTATATTGCTCATGAAAGTGAGGAATGGATAGCATTGACTGGCTAAAATACAGGTTGGCAACCCAGAAGGCTTCTACCAACCCTGCTAATGCACCTTGATCTTAACGCAAGGATGCCCCTCCCCCATTGATACACCTCTCCGCAACAGCTCTACTGATGCAGATAAGGCCTTTGTTCCAGTACAGATTGTCAGATATGCTGAATGGTGGGCTCCTATGATATAGATCAACATCCACTAGAGACTGAGAGTTACTATATTCATTTCACTTAATCCAGTGGTGATTTGAACTCACATCTTCAGAGGCAGAAGGAGATGTTTTAGAACTTTCCTGCTCTGCTTTTTTGATATTGTAATATGGATCCTGTCTCAAGTCACTACAGAGCAGCTTGGGGCAGTCATGTCTCTCTCTTCTCTTGAGCTACCAGGCTATCCTGCAGAGCAGCCACAATCTAAGCAGGCATAAAGGAACTAGGAATGTATGGCTTGCCTGAGCCCCTTGCTGCAGTTGCCATGCATATTCCAGTCTGAGGCTGCAGGCAACTGCTGTACACTCTACAAACCTAAGCTGTGGAGCCCTTACTTTCCTCTGCTCAGTCCCTTCCAGCACTTATGCCCCAGCTCCATATGGTATAATGGAGATGGGTGGCCTCTTCTGACCCTATTGCTCTTTCTTCCAGTTCCCTAATGAAGAGGATTCATTCTACAAGTTTGTCTCTCCACAAGAAGTGCTGCCATTCACAGAAGGTACCGGTCCTCTTTAGTGCAGGTTTTTGAAGGGGAACTAGCTGTGTTGACCCCAGGCAGCAGGAACCAGGCCCCTGTCTCACATATTTAAAGACAGAATTAGCTTGTAACCAAGGGCAGGAAACCCTGCCCATTGTCTTAAACCCTGAAATGACTCTGACCACTGTCCTAGTTTACATGCTACTTGGCTGATAGGAAGAATGGAACAGGGTTTCCTCTGAACTCCATCCTTGTAGTTGGGTTCCTGCCCTATTAAACACTTCCTTATACAGGTAGTAATTAAAAATCAAGGTTCTGATGGTGACTGCCAGCTGGTGGGCGGAACAGACCTAGCACAGTAGCAGAGAAACCAAACTAGTTTCTGTGTAGCGCTCATAAGTAGTGTGACTTCTTGGAACATAAAACTCCAGAAATACTATATGGATTATTACCACTGGCTGACAGTTTTCTTTCTGCCCTGGAGCTTCTGAGGCCAGGTTACTGTGTGCAATTCTGGTCTCCCATGTTTAAGAAAGATGAATTCAAACTGGAACAGGTGCAGAGAAGAGCTACTGGGATAATCAGAGGAATGGAGAATCTGCCTTACAAGAAAAGATCATAAAGAGCTTGGCTTGTTTTGCCTAACAAAACAAAGGTTGCGGGGAGATATGATTGCTTTCTATAAAATACATCAGAGGAACAAACACCAGGCTGTAAAAGGACTGAAGTTAAATGCCAGTGTTGGCACAAGAACAAATGAATATAAACTGGCCCTCAACAAGTTTAGGCTTGAAATTAGATGAATGTTTGTAATCATCAGAAAAGTGAAATTTTGGAACAGCCTTCCAAGGGGAGTAATGGGGGCAAAAACCCTAACTTGTTTCAAGACTGAGCTTGATACATTTATGGACGGGATGTTATGATGAGGATGCCTACAATGGCATATGTCCCATCTATGACTACCATTAGCACATATCTACAATGGCTGGAGATGGGACATGGCACAGAGTTATTCCAGCTAGTTCTTTCCCAGGCGTCTGGGTACATGCTCATGGTCTAACTGATCACCATACTGGAGGGCAATGTGTGTTTCCTCCCCCCTCCCCCGATCAGATTGGCAGAGATGGGGGGGGGGGGAGAGATGAGGAGGGTGTTGCCTTCTCCAGCAGTGTGGGGCACTAGTCACTTGCTGGTTTGAACTAGAATGAATGGTGGATTCTCTGTAACTTGAAGTCTTTAAATGAAGATTTGAGGACATCAGTAACTCAGCCAGAGGTTATGAGCATATTGCAGGAAGGGGTGGGTGAAGTTCTGTGGCCTGTGACATGTAGGAGGTCAGACTAGATGATCATAATGGTCCCTTCGGGCCTTAAATTCTGAGATTCCATCTTCAAAAAGATAGCAGCTCTGGCGCCCAGTTACATAGCAACCAACCTTCCAAATCCATGTTTCTGTGCAGCAGGACCCCACACGTGCAGGGCTAAGACAGTTTTGATTAAGGCTTTCATTGTGGCATTTTGCAGATTTTCCATCTGGAGGATCTTCTGGTTAGCAACAGCTATCAGCAGGGGCAAACTCTATCATTCTTATCCAAGACTGTGCCCTATACCCATAATTCAAATAAACCTACCACGGTTGGGGTTGTCTCGAATCTTGTTCTGCTATTTCAGTGCTGACTTTAGGGGTGGTGGGGCAAGGGTCACAACTTGTACTCCAGGTAGTGTATGGTGAAGCCACACTCCACATCATCTTGTCCATTGCTCATCTCTAATACCATGACTGTTTCCTTTTCAGGGGAGATCCTGTCAAAGATCAATGTTCATTGCCCAGTGTTTGACTATGTTCCCCCAGAGCTCATTACTCTCTTCATCTCCAATATTGGGGGTAATGCACCCTCCTATATCTATCGCCTCATGAGTGAGCTCTACCATCCTGATGACCATGAACTCTAAGCTCTACTGGCTTGAAGTGCCTCAGTGTCCAAGCTCTTCCTACCTTGCTCTTTTGGAAGATCCAACAGCTAAATAAATCCAGGGCTACAGAGATGAGGGTGACTGTCTTCAAAAGGAAACATCTGCAGGGAGTATAATGTTTCCACCCTAGCCAAGAGCAGCAGTGAGCAGAGATCTACACCTGGCTTTGCTTCTGTCACTTGTATTACAAGGCACATGAAACAGTTTTTAATCTATTTGATTTTTGGAACCTGTTGTTGCCATTCTTGTATATCTCCACAGAAGTTCTGGTTCAAGGATGGACCGGGTATAAATGGAATTCTCTGTTGCCACTAAGCTGCATTACCTTAGTGTGCTACAATAAAGACTGCTTGTAGTGGTCTCTGCTGTTGGCTTATTTTCTACACAAGAATAAAATGCTCATTCTTCAAACAGTAGGAGCACACTGGCCCCAGTAGTGAGCTGCTGTTGTAGCAAGATGGCTGTAGTTGCTTTGGTGGATGCAAACTGAAAAGCCTTCTATTACAAACCAAAGGCCTTAGATTGCATTCTCTTTAGTTGTCTCTGGCAATATGACAGTTCTTTTAACAGTGCACAGCAACACTACATCACCGTTTAGGGTAAGAAGTGAAATATTTCCCTCTGGTTTTGCTTAGACAGTAAAACCTGCTGGGCCAGGATTCTTGTTTTTAATTTAGGCACTTAAATCCTGTGTGCTATAGTAATGCCTAATAAGTCAATAGAAATTTGTAACATGACCCTCTTACTGGTATAGAAATAAACCCCAATCTATTTAGAGCTAAAGGGTGAATTGAAGAGTAGAGGCAGAATAAAATTAGAATACGAGCAGGATTTCTTATTGCAAGATGTTCTCTAGGATCCTTAACGACCTCTTTTCCAGCAACCTCATGTTTTACTGAGAAGATAGCATCTGGCTATATTTTTGAGATCTCCCCTCCACCTGGAGGAAAAGGACTGATGTGCTGTGAAAGCCACAGGCAAGAAAAGAAACAGCAAGCTGGGATTGCTCTGCTATTAGATGCTTAGTTGAATAAAGTGACACTTTTGGTGCTTTGATGGTCTGACTCTAAGTTTGCCTGCACAACCTTGCAGAAGGCCTGTGCTCACTCCAGTCAGACATGAGCCTGAGGAAAGTAGTGTTGATTTATTAATAAATACTTAGCCCTCTACACTTTCAAAGCATTGTAAATACATTAAAACAACAACCCTTCCCCTATGAGGAATCCTGCCATTCTCACAAGAAGGGAATTTAACACTTGCAAATGTGAGACTCTTTCTACCCTTGAATAGCCAAGTCTGGGCACACAATATAATTTCTGAACATTGAAGCCTCTTCTCTGGACTATAGGAGCCTTCTCCTGCCACATTCCCATGGATTATCTTGACTCCTCAGGTGGTCAGCTGTGAAGGTAGTACTTCTGATACCGTCCTGGCTCAGGAGTTGCATCCAAGCAGCAACACTGGTTTCATGTTGCTGGCTGGAAGTATGAAGGGTTACGTGACATCAGCACTCCTGGAGGGTCTGGTTTTTAGCTCACACTTCCAAGTGCTGTCCTTGTTTCCCAAACAGCTGCCAAGCTTGGGCCATTCTCCGCAGTTTAGCCAAATTAGGTTTAGGCTGGTAGGAGAAAAGAGAATTAATGAATTGATACAAAGTTTCATTAAGAGAAAAGGACTTCACTGACCTCCACAGTCCTTTCCCCACACAGAAAGATGCTCAAGTGTTTTAGCAAATCTAATTTTAAATGTCCTCCGTGACTTCCAGTTTCACAATCTGATGCAGTTCCTTGGCAGCAGGGTGGATAAAAGTCAAGATTTTATTTTATTAAACATCAGATTTTTTTTTTAAATATACATCTTGCTAGTTCATTGCTTCTTATTTTAGGCTTAGGTGTTTTGTACTTGTTTCTCACATTAGTTTCCTCATTATTAGTAGAATTTCAGATTTTACATGTTTTTTCCCTTAAGTCTCTCACTTAAAAGGCTCATCTTTTCTGAAAATGACAAGCCCAGGGCCTCATTAACACCCTTACTGTAAGAACATAAAACTGATAAGCAAACTGACCTTCCTATATTTGCAACCAGCACCACATTCTGATATAAACTGGCATGAATGAAGAAAGCTGAAATGCTTTGGCAAGGCTATACTCTTCTGGCAGGATTTGAAGTCAATGGGACTTGTGCTCATAAGTCATCTAAGTGCCTATATATAGGCATAGGAGCCTAATTTCAGGCTCCTGCTTTTGAAATACAAAAATGGTTCATAATAACTTGTGCATTAAAAGTCTAAGTAACTTTTCATTGTTAACACTAAAGCAATTTTGTTTTGAAGTGAAAGATTTTATGCCCCTAAGAGAAAAGTTTAATAAAAATACGTTTTAACCGCTGGTGCTGCTACACTTAAGCATGTTCAAATTTTAAGCACAAGTGACCCCGTTAAAGTAAACGGAGCTTCTCTTGTGAGTAAAGTTACTCACCAGCTTGTTTGCAGGATCAGGGCCATACTATTCAATTTATTTTTGTAAAATTCAAATACCCTATTGGAAGTGGCATTTAAGAAAAATAGTTCATTGTATATTTTCATTGTAAAGTTGCAATATTACAAATTTTCAAATTAGTTTTGCAAAACCTCAATCTGATTTTTAAAAAATCACTCCACCTTGACTGGTCTCCTGATCTTCAGCCTAGATTTTCTTTCTTTATTTCATCCCATTCCTCTTGGTTATAACTCCTCATATCATCCTAAATAATTCCACCTTTCAAATAGTAGATTTACCCATCCAGGCACACAGAGCAAATGTACTGTTTCAGGCAGCCATTTCCTAAGAAACTGAGTTATGAAAGAAGAGAAAAAGCAAAAGTACTGATCTGCTGTGGGCTATCCCATGTACTCAACATATTTAGGGAACAGCACACTTAGTAGGGAGCTTTAGAAAGGTGCACATTACTAGTTCTTCCCCACCATTAGTTGTCCCTTAGCCAAACTAGACAGACTTAACTCGTATTCTCTCATAAGTCTCCTGCAGTTCCCTGGCCAGTTTTTTGTTGCTCTTCTTGAATTCCCTCTAGTTTGTCTTAGATGAGTTTATAACAGTGTTTCAATTGCAGAGTATTACCAATAGTGTGGCTCCCTAAGAAGATACAGGATAGCTGAATAACCATTGCCAGTGGCTGCTTACCAAGTCTGTACAACTTCAGGAAGAAATATGACAGGAAATGGCATGTTAACAGTGGGGTTCTAAAGGCAAATGTGCAATACACCACGTGAGTAGAATCTAAAATAGCATCTGGACATGCCCTTTGTGCCCAGTGAGTCGCAGTGTTCATTTATATACAATACTGTGGGGAATAATACAGGAACGGTTAAGGGAGGGACAGGAGCTAGAGGTTTGTTTACATCACATGTGGTCAGTGGTTATTTCAGTCAGGATACCTCTGTTTGTATTAAGTGGTGGATACAGAGTGAGCTGTTATTGGTTGGTATGAAACTTGGATGAAAAGGCTTAGCAAGATTAAACGCATTTTTTCAGACAACCCACCCTGTGGGTTTGTTGCCTTTCTCTGCCCAGCACTTCACACTGTACCTGCTTTT